TGCTGCTGTGCACAGACACACAGAACATGTACATGAACGACTGCTAACAGCAGCTTGTGTGTTGCAGGTGCTGCTGTTTCTTCAAGAGGAGGAAGAGGAAAGCTCTCCAGAGACACAAATGAAGACAAACAAGGGAACCTGTGGCTCTCCTCTTCACATCTGTTCTTTTTGTTTCTTTCTCTCACCCCTCTCCTCTTCCTCACCTCTGCTAACGGGTGTTAGCTGGTATACTGGTTTCTACTGGTCCTGACTGAGCAGTGAGGAGAGCGTTTGCTGCCTCTACCAGCAACGAGCCCCTTGTGTATTTATGGCCAAAGACTGAAGTGAAACCAGAGCAGCACAGACTGCTGCGGGGGAAACGTGGCCGTAAGAATACAGCTGATGGATGAGAAACAAGTGGACGACTGGATTCAGCTGCTTTCCTGGCCGACCGGCTGCTTCTCACTTTTCCCCTTTCTCCCGTTACTGAGCGGTTCAGAGGAGAGACGAGTGTGTTTGTGAGGATATGAGAGAGGACTCCAAATACAAGGGTGCAACGAGTCACACGTGCACACCCGACACAAACACACCACTGCACACTTTTCTGGAGCTCATCGCAAATCGATTTCATGGACAAAGAGATGTAGCTCGCGCACAGTCAAAGTTTTTATTCCTTAGGGTCAAAGGAAGAGCACTGTGAGTGGACCGGACTATTTCCTGAAATGGACCAGGCTCGGTGAATTCCTGAATCCCTTTCAGAGGAAAAGCCCCACGACCACCAGAATCAAAAGTTTAAAAAGAAGTTTATGTAAAATCGATGCTTTGTTTCCTGTTTTAATTTGTAACTACAAACAGAAAAGACTGTTGCTTTCCCATGATTTCAGTTGTTCAGAAACTTTGTGTTTGTAGTTTCTAGTGTGTTCCTCAAAATGTTTTTTTTCCTAAATAACTTTTTAATTTTCTTTATTTTCTTTTCCCTTCTTCCTCTCTGGGTTGGGGGAACGTCAGATAACTCCATTAAAAAACAACCAAACAACTTTAAGACCGAGCTTCATTCAGGCTGTGATCTGTCCATGCATGTGTTTCTACCTCTCACCAACAGTGCTGGCAGTCGAGTCCAGTCCTCTTACATTCAGCATCTACTGGGACATGTTGAGGACTGGACCAGAACACGCCTGTC